TGTGATGTCTAATGGCGCCATGAGGATAAAAATACCACCGTTCGATTCAGCGTAAGAAATTGTACTTACAGATGTCAAAGGTATTACTATACAACAGTATTCTAGCGATTTATGGCCTTTGTCTTTGAAAGCCAAGCGAAATTGTATTGTTGACAAATCACTCAACATTATTAAAGGCATTAATAAACTATAAATTATAAAAAATGCAATGCGTTTGATCCTTGATAACTTTGGTATCGTTGGTTTTCTCTTTTTCGGCCGTATACCAGTGGATTCGTCTCACTTCTTTCTTCATTTTGATAGTATTTTTATGTTGAACGTTTTAAAGCGCAGTTAAATTAACCATTTAATTAAAATTGAAAAAAAGCTATTATGAAGAGGAACTTATACAATACAAAAACAACTCAAAGATGATCTGGAAAACTCTAAATGAAATACTGAATAAAAAGTCAAAATTAAGAGAGTTACCAAAACGCTTTAAAGATCCTAGCACTGGAAATGTTATTGAAGAGCCACTCAATATATCAAACGAATTCAACAAATACTTTGTGAATGTTGGACCACAGCTTGCAAGTAGAATTGTAATAAAAATTACACATTCGATAAATATCTTTCTAATAAATGTGAGCATATTATGTTTATCGATCCAACCACTGAGCATGAAGTTGAAACTGAAATTAATTCTTTGAAACGTAATAAAAGCCCTGGATATGCTGGCTTAAGTGCAAAAATTATCCAGTGTGTAGGAAATTATCCACTTGCTCATATATTCAATTTAACGTTTACCACTGGCATCATACCGGAAGAATTGAAAATTGCATTAGCAACGCCAATATATAAAGTGAATGAGGCTACAAAAGATTAATTAAATTTGTTGACAAGAACAAAATTTTATCTAAACAATACGGATTTAGAAAAAATAGATCCACAGAATTTGCCATTATTGAAGTTATCGATAAGATTACAAAAGCTATTGACCAAGGCAAGTACACAATTGGTATCTTTCTAGACTTATCGAAAGCATTTGACACGATTAATCACGAGATTCTGATTAAAAAACTTGAATACTATGGAATATGAGGAATAGCACGTAAATTGTTTGAAAATTACTTAGGGAATAGAAAACAAATTGTAAAGTACAACCAAACCCGTTCAGCCGAAGCGAAAATTACAAGCGGTGTTCCTCAAGGATCTATCCTAGGTCCACTGCTGTTTCTATTATATATAAATGACATTGGAAATTGTAGTAATATAGTTTCGATGATATTATTTGCTGATGATACAAACATATACCATAGTCACACCTGCCTTAAAACACTAAATGATATCATGCAAATAGAAATAAACAAAATAGCTGACTGGTTAATTGTAAATAAATTATCAATAAATATTAAGAAAACTAAATATATTTTGTTTAAATCCCCTAAGAAGAGACTTAATCATAGTGTAACTATATCTATAAACAACAAACCTATTGATCAAGTTAAAAGTATATCATTTCTTGGGGTTAACATTGATGAACACTTAACATGCAAAAATTACATAGATTCAGTCTCGAAAAAGATTACGAAAACCGTTGGAATTATAGCCCGAGTTCGACATTATGCAAATTTGAATACTTTAAAACTAGTGTGTAGTCTATCCGTATTTAATTTATGCCAATTTAGTCTGGGGAAATACTTACACAAAGCGAATTCAGAAGTTACAAAGCATACAAAAAAAATTGTGCGTCTAATGTCATTTAAATCAAATTTTGATCACACTGATCCAATTTTTCAAGATTTGAAAATACTAAGTCTTCCCAAATTCAATGATTATTTAACTCTTCTATTCATGTATCGTTACCACAAAACAGAACATTTATCAATCATATTTAATAATCTATTTGTAAACAATAGTGACATCCACCATTATGAAACTAGAAATGCTTCCACTTCACAAAAAGTATAGAAGAACAAATTATGTCTGTCATTCTCTTGCTAGTAAAGGTGTTGATATTTGGAATAAGCTTGACTCTCATTTAAAATCAATCAATTCATTGATTGTCTTCAAAAGCGAATTGAAAAAATCTCTATTTGTAACAGATAGCTGTATATATAGTAAATATAATCACTCTCCTATATAAAAACATTTTTAAGTATATTTTTTGGAATTATAGTATTAGTTATTTTGTACTTTTGTCGTTTATTATTTTTCTTCTTCTAAACATTTCACTGTAAATAATTTAGTTAATCAATTCTTTATTAACTAGGGGTCTTAATTCAAAAGCCTGTCCAGGTTTCTAGTAGACCTCTAGGCCTTACATTACTTATTTTACATAAGTACTATTCTTGTAAATACTACCCGCCGTTTGGAAAGATTCGTGCATTTCCCCAATTCCAAAAGTGTCACAACCGACTTGTGAAGGAGATACTCGACCAATCTCTCTCACTCCTTGTCTAAAGTCTTGGAGGACTTTGTTGTATAATGGATGATGGTAGATGTCGTGAATAATATTGACATACAGCAATTTGGTTGTTTGAGAGTATCATCAACAGCATCCTACCTTCTCGATATGATAAATAATTGGCTATTCCACCTTGACTCACCTGATAAGCATATCCGCCTATTATTTTTAGACTACACAAAGGCCTTCGATCGTATCGGACATAATGTGCTTATTAGTAAGCTTATTGATATCGGAGTAAGGCGCTCTCTGATCCCATGGATTATAAGTTTTATATCTGACCGTAGACAGTGTGCTAGACTTGGTGGCGCTACCTCGGACTTGCGAGCGGTTACAGCTGGTGTACCACAAGGTACAAAATTGGGGCCAATCTTATTTTTGATTATGATCAACGATCTAAAGATTTTATCCCCAGGGAATACTGGTACTTGGAAATTCATGGATGATGTATCCATTTCACAGTCTCTGTCAAGAAACAGTGAATCCCGTATGCAGAGTCGCCTTGATGAGGTCAATACGTGGGCTGACAACAACCTAACGAAACTAAATCCAAAGAAATTTAAAGAGATGCACGCCTGTTTCCTCAAAGAGTGACCCATTTTAGAACGTCTCAATTTGAGGAGACATCCCCTGGAAATTGTTTCCCGTCATAAGGTTCTTGGCTTGGTTATACAGGATAATCTTAAGTGGAATGGGGCATATTGCTATGATTGTAAAAAAGGCCTCCAACCGTTTTCATATCCTGAGAGTTCTTAAACGATGTGGAATTCCACCTCATGAACTGATCCTTATGTACTATGCTCTCATGCGCTCCGTACTAGAGTACTGCTGCATTGTATGGCATAACAATCTACCAGCTTATCTGGCGGACTCAATTGAAAGAGTCTAGAAAAGAGCACTGAATATAATCCTCCCTGGCAGGTCTTACCGAGAAGCTTTGAGTCAGTTCCATTGTTCTCGCCTAAATGAGAGACGCGATGCTTTGTGCGAAAGAACGATTAAAAAGATAACTGATGGTAACCGCCTGTCCCATCTCTTACCTCAGACTAGAGAAAACGTGAACTACGATTTACGTAATTCTAACAATTGGTCATCGTTCAATGTAGAACTGATCATTTTCAGAAAAGCTTCTAAACATGTCTTTATGACTTTTTTTTGGACATCTAAACTATTATAATATATACTTTTCTCACATCTAAATTTTTAAATTGTAAATATAGTATTAAATTTATAATTGTATCTCTATAACTTATGTAGTTATTGTAAGCACATTGTAATTCAATGTTTTGTGATAATGTGCCATTAAAAACGCATATATAATTTTGGACGAACTAAAACACAATCAAAGGCCGTTGAGGCCGACTCAGGGATGAGATTAAACGAAAGTGACAGTTGTTTGCAGTTGATTTTGCAAACGGGCACTGTGCGAATTTTGCCATTTGTCGTGCTTCTTTTGCCAAATCAGAAGAACGAACGCGTGCTCCAGCCCGATTTCCGGTTCTGAAAGGCCCTAAACGAACGCGTGCTCCAGCCTGCTGCTTCGCAACATCCGTGAGTCAAAAACGGCAGAGCCTTACTCAAGAACGATTTCCACGGACAGAAAATGTTCCGAAAAATGTCATTGTTAAAAGATGAAAATTTACAACTTCAAAAATTTTTTTCCGACGAAAAATTTGTGTCGGACAATCCCATTTCACAAAATTTTCTTTCTGCGGAAACTTTTCCTGAGTGGAAATGGGCCTTTATTTTCTCCGCGGGGAAATCAGACTCTGCTCTCATGGTAAACATATAGTGGAGAAGTTGTGCAAGTACAGTATTAACTTTTGCAAGTTATTGCGCCATTGTGAGCGCGTGTTACTGCATCTAATTAGGGATGACTGCCTTGTATAATGGCAATGAATTTCATTGTATTTCATTTACTACTTATATATTTGCATGCCAATGCATTGTTGAAGTTCTGGTTGAAAGAATAGTCTCACGAGGATGAGCCATGTGGATATACCTCTGTCAAAAGTAATCTTGTCGAAGTGAAATTACAAATCTTGAAATCTCACATATTTCTATCTCAGCGTCACAATATTGACAAAGACGCAAGTAATTGTTTTATGGAATTGTCTTGATGAAGAAATTAAGATATTAAGTCATTTCTCTTTTAAGAAAAAAAGTATTATTTATAGAATACTAAAGTGAACTAATATCTCTTGAACTTTAATCTTTCCATGTGCTGCAGTTTCTGTAATTGCTCTTATGTCATCGACTTGGTTTATTTTAATACTAAAACAAGGGCCTTTCATGTGATAAACATCCATCACGATTTCCTTTTTTATACTATTGTATTATTTGTATTTATATATTAAGTTGTAAATATTTCTTGTGGGAAAATAAACAAATAGATAAATAAATTAAACTGATCTGATTTGTCCAGTAAATTACCGCTTCGGTTAACATTTATAACTTCTTCAACTCTCATTTCAACTTAATATAAGGATGTCTGCATCTTGTGCCTAACGAATTCCTCGTGAATTTTTTAATCGTGTGAATAATTTGTTGTATCCTTTATGCCATAGACATTCTGAAATGAGAAAAATCGAGGATCAAATGGAAGACGTATTATCTGAAAAAGCTGAGAAGGGGAGTAAAGCAAACGGAAACAGGTACAGTGGAAATAAAACTTAATTACAACAACGTGGATGCCACTCGCTAGGCTAGATGACGCTGGGCAATATTTGCAAATACTTGAAATGCACCTCGTCCTCTAGACGCTTTTGGGGGTGATTCTCCAGAACACTGCTTCGTCCAGAACACTGCGTTCTCCAGAACACTGCTTCCACCAGAACATTGCTTCCACCAGAACACTACTTTCACGAGAACACTACTTTCACCAGAACACTGTTTCCACCAGAACACTACTTTCACCAGAACACTACTTTCACCAGAACACTACTGCCACCAGAACGCTACTTTCACCAGAACACTGCTTCGACCAGAACACTGCTTTCACCAGAACACTGCTTTCTCCAGAACACTGTTTCCACCAGAACATTGCTTCCACCAGAACACTGCTTTCACCAGAACACTGCTTTCTCCAGAACACTGCTTCCACCAGAACACTACTTCGTCCAGAACACTGCTTTCTCCAGAACACTGTTTCCACCAGAACATTGCTTCCACCAGAACACTACTTTCTCCGGCAGAACATTGTTTCCACCAGAACATTGTTTCCACCAGAACATTGTTTCCACCAGAATACTGCTTCCACCAGAATACTGCTTCCACCAGAACACTGCTTTCACCAGAACACTACTTCGTCCAGAACACTGCTTTCTCCAGAACACTGTTTCCACCAGAACTCTGCTTCCACCAGAACACGGCTTTCACCAGAACACTGCTTCAACCAGAACACTGCTTCCCCCAGAACACTTCTTCCTCCAGAACACTGCTCCCTCCAGAACACTGCTCCCCCAGAACACTGCTCCCCCAGAACACGGCTTTCACCAGAACACTGCTTCCATCAGAACACTGCTTTCACCAGAACACTGCTTCCACCAGCCCACCGCTTCCCCCAGAACACTACCCCTGTGAAAACTGTTCCCCAGAGCACTGCTCTGTGAACACTGTTTCCCCAGAACACTGCTTTCCCCAGAACACTGCTTCCCAGAACACTGCTTCCCCCAGAACACTGCTTCCCCCAGAACACTGCTTCCCCCAGAACACTGCTTCCCCCAGAACACTGCTTCCCCCAGAACACTGTTTCCCCCAGAACACTGCTCCCCCCGAAAACAGCTTCCCCTCACACCCCCTCGGTGATAATGCATCTGCGCAGGTTGAATCCTTCTCGATGTTTCGAGCAGGGTCTTTATCAAGAGAACTCTCTCTACTAATTTTTCTGACGAAAAGTCTTCGCTCGATGTAGTTGTTGTCTGACGATCGTGTATAAACGTCCATTCTACGAAAAATGACTACTCTGCGAGATACCACATTTATATTTGCAAGACTCTTAACCAAGGCATTTGACTAAGGCTCTTATAGTAGGGCACTGAATTACAGATCAGTTGGGAATTAAAAATAATTAAAGATACCTACAATGTATAAATGTACTATGCATATTTAATTAGAAGTTATATTGAATGTTATATTTAATTAGAAGTAAAATATCTGGATGAAACTTAAGGGGCCGATTACATTGACGGGGCTGGCCTAGTTAAGGGGACCGGTACGGCTAAGCGAGACTACTTTTTTGTCAAATTGTTTTATAGTATTTTTTGGAGTTGAAGAGCGAAGTTTCCTTCGGCACGTCCAAACGTTTGTCCTTTTGAAAGCTGATTTTCCCGCGCGTCGGCTTCAACGAATCACCATAGGATCACAGGAGTTATCATTCCAGTTTACTTATAGTTCAAAGGATTCACCCCATTGAACGTCATTTTAATATTCTCGGGGGTGAATGCCTCTCATAAGCGCACTGGCAAGGACCATGGCGACAGCGTTGCAATGGTTACGCCAAAATCAAAGGCAAAACCAAGAAATCAACCTTCTGTATGGTTCCTATTCTGTGACACGGTTTCGGTTAAGCTCGCTAACAATAGATTGTGCCTGCGGTTATTCTATGTGTTACAACGAACTACAAGGCCATGACCAGCATATGCTCATATTCTACTGACATTCAATGTCATTGTAATACTAACGGCTTATTGACCGAGCGTGTGGTCTGTACTGTGAAATATCAGACCGAGATTTTTTAGTATGGACCGAGCGACGAAGGAGCAAGGTCCATGCAAAAAAACAAAGGTCTGATATTTCACAGTACAGACCGAACAAGCGAGGTCAATAATCGGTGAACTGAGTCTGGTATGGTTGAACTGAGTCTGTGAGCATATGCTTTTCGCGCGAATTAAATCGGGCTATCGTCAGTTTCACTGCGTAACAATATATACGGCAGGCATGCATGCTCAATCAAAAACAATTTTGTTGTTTGAAATTTTTATCTGTAAATTTTAATGACACACAATTGGAAAATTAAGAAGCAAAAAATTTTTCTGTTTGCAATGCAAAAATTTCCCGCCAGATAAACGACATTACGGACACCGGTCCAGATACGGAAAATACGGACCATGGTCCGGATTTAAGGACCCTTATGGGCATCAAATCACAAGGTCGTAATAATATCATGTGCAGGCCTTTCTATCCTTTGCATTATAATTTTGCTCAAATTTGACTCGCATTAGTAGGAACAAAACTGAACTTACTATGCTCCCATGTTTTAGAGCGAGTCGAAATAAAAGTGAAAAAGATCGTCGGGATAAAGTGAATGCATTCATCAATGAACTGGCTGGCTTGGTCCCCGGCTGCTCACCACAATCTAAGAAACTGGATAAAGCTAGTATACTTAAAAATACTGTTGATTTCATGAAAGTTCATAATGGTATGTTATTGTAATCTATAGTTCGTTATGCGTTTTAACTATGCATTGATTTGCAACATTACGTCACGATAAGTGTACAAGGATTCGCTTGAACGCATTTTGTTTCCTCCACAAACACCCAGCGAATACGCTCACCAAAAACGCAAACTTTTGAAAATGGTTACCACACGAACGTTTGAAAACGCAACGATCTATATCATCCACTACATCCACGTTTGCTCTGCTGCATGCTTTTTTAATTTTAGCTTACCAAACTTAAGACCTAAAAATACAGCATAATCGTGCAACAATTAGCAGTTGAGCAACGTTTTTGGCTCATGCACATTCTTTTAAGAAAAATAATGCACTTTCGTTTAAAATTAATGTGATATATGGATCGATGATTATATTTAATATTAATGCACATTCGTTTAAAATTAATGCCCATTCGTTTAAAAACACTTTTTATTTCCACGCCTTTATCTGGAAGGTAAATTAGTCAGTGAAAGTGAGTGATAAGTACTATTGATTGTGTTCTTTTGTAGATTTAACAGTATCCATCACATGTAGAGATACGACATCGTGTCTTAATAGTAATGAACTTGGACAATTAATGCTTGAGGTTTTTATATTTGCATATTCTGTATAGTTACCTTCCAATTTAGAAAGATCTTGCTTTTTCCCACTACACACGTGAAAATTTCACAAGTTGTCAACAAGATGTGTTCGCAACAGGCTTGTAGCAAGCTTGTCAATAAGTTGTAACAATTCTGTTATTTTGTCAAGTTGCTACACGGTTGTTACTCACGACTTGTTCGCAAATTGTTGAATTGCATGACGATAACAAGTTGTTGGCAGAACTTGTAACAAGTCTGTTGAGATCAACAAGCTTGTAGTAACTTGTCAACAAGCTGGGAACAAGCAGTGCGAACACATGCTGTTGACAAGTTGATTGCTACAAGTCTGCTGCAGGTTTGTTACAACTTGTGCGTTCTTACGTGTGTACCATAGCTATACTTTTTATGTTATTAATCATATTGTTTTCACTTTAGGGTTATCATGCTTTTCTGTTCGTCATTTCACTTTCGGGAAGTTTCAAGTTCTTATCTGAAAGTGTGTATGATTTGCTTGGTTGTACGAAGGTACAAATGAACATTCATTTATTGACTTTTAATCTGCATACTGTAATTTGTGCACTAACTACAGTATCTATTCTTGAACACAATTTCAGACGCTCATTAAGATTCTTGAGTATGTTATAAGTCCCCAATGTTAAAGAGTTTGTGCAACGAACTTTCACGCAATTTCTTATTATTGCATTGCAAAGGAAATTCAAAATGACCATGCAAATAAGTTCTTGAGATAGTTAACAATTTTTGAAATGCAAATTATCTTCACTTCAAGATCTTGGGATTATGATTGCATAGCGTGCATATATGTGTGCAAAATTATGAATGTGTTATGTCAACATACTATAAAGATATGTTATATATATATATATATATATATATATATATATATATATATATATATATATATATATATATATATATATATATATATATATATATATATATATATATATATATATATATATATATGTCGACAAATTTGAATCATTTATCTAAATCCTTGAATGTCTTTAAATTTGAATGCAGGTCTTTACGGTCTTTGAAACGTCTTTGAATTGTGTGAAAAAGCGAAGAAAGTCTTTAAAAGTCTTTAAATTCTTTAGTGAGGAATTTATTATACGATTTCCTAGCTAATAAAATAGATTGATTGAAGCAAGATTTTCGCAAATATCGACGAAAAGGCGCATTTTAGGATGTGATTTGACGGGACTAATTACTGGGTAAAAATGGTGCTTACACTCGCAATTTTTCGACAGCTGATTGCTCTCAAAGGTCTTTGAAAAGTCTTGGAAAATAGGCAGAAAAAATCTTTGAAAGTCTTTGAATTTTTTTTATCTTAGAGACTATACGAACTAATAAGAGTTATAAACGTTTTTTTCAGAAAGCCATTATTCCAGTTGACGTCATACTTAAATTTTGGCAAAAATCTTAACAGTCATTTTGAATTTTCTTTAATATACAATCATAAAAAAATGGTTTAAGAGCTGTATCATGTCAGATAAAACAGCAATTTTGAAACTCAAAATATGGTTTGACATTTTTGTCCCAGTAAGTTTTCTCAGTGGATGTCTTGACAGTTCTCTGGATATTTTTTTATAGGATGAGCTTGTTGAGAAGAGTATATTTGACTATATTTATCCTGAGGATAAATTCATTCTAATGAAACAGATTTCCCAAGACATTAGAACAGGTAAACTAGAAATAACTACTATACTCTCTCAATTATATTACAAGTATAAGGAAAAAACACGACATTTGAGTTTTCAGGGTATTTTCTTGTTTTGTCTGCGGTAACAAAATTATAGCCTGCGCCGCATACTTCAAAACACATGTTTTATCAGTTCTGCGAATTAGTGAAACGATCCTTGTTCAAATTTACCGTTTATCTCGAAATGAGTACTAGATCCAGGTTTCGTACAAAAATTGAAAGTCCTTGAATGTCCTTGAAATTGAAAACAAACATTCAAGGCCTTGAATGTCCTGGAATTTGTAAAGAAGTACTTGAAAGTTCTCTTGCGTTTTTGGATATTTTCTGAAATTGTTTGAAATTCAAAACGGACATTTTGTTGAATTGATTTTCCATGTTCATATCTGACAAAGCTGTTTGAAACTCATTAAAGTTGCGTTTTGGACAATTCAAAGTCAGATTTTACTGATTTCTAACCCTTTTCTTCAGTATTTAGTCCTTGAATTTGCTGATACATGGCCTTGAATGTCCTTGAAAAGTCCTTGAATTTGACTCTTCCTCACATGTACGAACCCTGTAGATCCTGATTGGCCCATACTGAGTTCAACCTTACATGGATTCTGATTGGGCAATCATTAGCCTCAGCGCAACTTCCGGTATCTCAAAATAAAAAACAAACAAATAAAATAAAAATAAAAACAAAAAAAATGGGAAAAAAAAATGGTATACCGCGAAAAGTTTTCCCTATGGGTTTCCCATCATATATTGTCTTTTAAAGATATTGTTAAACACAGTGAGAGGTATTTTGTTCAAGGAAAAGGAACATTTAATGTATTAGAAGAGTTAAAAAGGTTGTCTTTCAAGGTAAATTAATGTTATAGTGTAAGCAATGTCTTTATAACCTAAAGAAAAGTGTAGGCCTCATTCGTCAACTATTGGAGATTGAAAGTGCTTCTGAAAATGCCTATAATTTAAACGAAAAAAACCCACTCAATCCACTGCAAAGAGACATCGTGATGGATGGCCAAATAGGGGAAAATGGCAATTTAACAGCCTGCGAATTTCTCGGGAATTGCCCGATTGGAGTCGAAGTTGTAGGAGCATCGGATTCGGTAGGCACTGTAGGTTCTGGACGCTGCTTCTTTGGTGTTGTAATTCTTGTAAAACTATACATTTCTCGATGTCATCACTTAGTCTCTTTGTGATGGATTGAGTGGTTCTTTCGTTTAAATTATAGGCATTTTCAAAAGCAGGCCTACACGTTTCTTTATGTTACAAAGACATTGCTTGCATATATATCCACTATAACATTAATTTACCTTGAAAGGCAATCTTTTTAACTCTTCTAATACATTAAATGTTCCTTTTCCTTGAACAAGATACCTCTCATTGTGTTTAACAATATCTTTAAAACACAATATATATATACAGCTATTTCAATTAAGGTTGTCCACGAGCAAAGCGGAAAAGTCGAATATGAGCGCGAAAGGCTGCTGGGAATCGCTAACAAATTAATGAATTTTCAAATCGGTTCCCAGCAGCCTTTCGCGCTCGTATTCGACTTTTCCGCTTTGCTCGTGGACAACCTAAATTGAAATAGCTGTATACGCATGCATGGAAAACCTATATGGAGAAAATTTTTGGCGGTATATTTAGATTTGTTTTTGTTTGCATTTGGACATACCGGCTAATGATTGCCCAATCAGAATCATGCATGTACTGTAAGGTGGAACTCAGTATGTGCCAATCAGGATCTAGTACTCATTTCGAAATTTGAACAAGGATCGTTTCACTAATTTGGAGACTGATAAAACATGTGTTTTGAAGTATGCGGCGTAGGCTACAAAATTAATGGAGTTTTCAAATCCAAAGTTCAGCAGGAAAGCAAGAAGAAGTAAACCAAAAACGAACTGCAAAAGCAGCCAACAAACGACAACGGGGCAAAAACGACACAACGTTTCACAGCTTTTTCTGAGTCTGAATTAAACTTTTGCTTCAAATACTCAATGGCGACAAAAAACGCAACAAACTGTGCTCTTTCGACATTTAAAGCTACACAAAGTCCGCATTTGGCTTCAGTAAACTACAGGGACATTATACACTTGAATGATGTGGTTTCTTGCACTTCACTTGGTGGAATTAATATTAGAATGTTAGGGTTTGTAATCCAAGTGATTATATACATTTTAAGACCTGACCAGGAACGACTGCGAAAAATGCAGCACAAGGTCCTCTGGTAGGAATTGAACCCACGGCCCTGCGATTCCGGTGCAGCGCTCTAACCAACTGAGCTACAGAGGCCAGCTGTTGAGCTGTAACCGTAAGTTCATGTATATATAGGTAATCGGGTTGTGCGGGTTGTGATAAGGTGGAC